CCATTGTGGAACTGGGAACAGGCAGGAGACAACACAGTCAGCTGTAACAGCCACATACACCATTACACCCTTTCCAACCCAAACCTGGCCCAGGAGAGTTTTCTAGGGTCCTGTGAAGCTGCAGCACTTCCATAGGAGTGCCGTCATCATTTTAAGCTTGAAGGATAACAGCCCACAAGATGAGAAGCCCCAGTACACACCTCTGCCCTCCCTCCCAGTGTATCCCAGCCCTCTTATCCCCTCTGTCCCAGTATGCCTCATCCTGGGCTCCCCTTTACATTTCGGTCCCAGATGGTGCCCTGGCCCATTATTCCTCTCCTACACTTCTCACCTGACTCCAGCCCAGAGGCTTTCTACTCACCACCTCTCCATCCAAAGCTGCTCCAGCCTGCCCTCTGTGCCCCCTCAGCCCCACTCTACCTGTTTGACGACGTAGAGCTTGGTCACAGATGATTTCTTGGCTCTGGATTTGCACAGGGGCAGGAGCTGCCATGGAGCCAAAATCCAGAAAAAGCCAAGGGGGACCCAGACTAGCACAGTCTGCTGGAAGCACACAGGCAGGTCGGCATCTGGACGATCGAGGAAGGAGGCATTCTGGGGGCAGCAATGACGAGACAGCCAAGTCACTTGGGATGGTTCAACTCTCATCTGTCTCACGGCAGAAGAGCCAGCACTCCTATAGCTCCTGCCCATCCCGCTCCACCCCATCACACCCCCTTCCTCAACACCCACCTTCCTGGCTGAGCATTTCAGCACCCATCCAAGGTCCCAGGTGACATCCCCATATCCCTCTGTATGCCTGAACCTGGCAGGGCCTCCCCCACAACCACCCCTTGCTGGAGCCAAGCCAGCTGCAGAAGCTGGACCCAAATCATTTCCCGAGAGGTCCATGCAGAGTGTCCTGTGTTCCCAGCTGGGCTGCAGAGCTAAAACAGGACAGGGCTCGCTCAAAGGACTATCATTTGCATCGTTGTCTCCTGTATGCCACCCAGGCAGTGCACAGCGCTCAGGGCCATGGCAGCCCTGGATAAATACAAGAACCTTGGCCAACCGCTGGCACTTGGGTCCCACTGTCTGAACACGCTGTGAACCTTCAGATCTATTGCTCTCCCCTTCCACTGAGCATGCCACCCCAAGAACAGGAAATGGGGGTGATGCAGCCACTCACCCAAAAGACGGAGCCACAGAATGCCTCCAGGGCTGCCGACATGACTCAGGAAAGAAGAGACGGTGGCTCCTTCCCCTCGCTCTGCCTGGCTGTGCGAGTCCTGTGTGGATGCTTGGGACAAAAGTCCCCACACACCCTCAAGTAGCGTTGGGACAAAATCCCTGATGACACACAGTTAATTGTTAACTTGGTGCTATTGCACAACACCACAGACCAAAGCAGTGACCAAAAGGGCTTTGGAAACTGCGTGGGCTCTGGGGAGAGGAGGAGAGAAAGGGCCAAGAAAGAGATGAAAGGAGAGATGCAGGGAAGCTGCTGTCACCATCACTGCAGGACACCACAGCCATTGCTGAGAAACCACAGCCTTCACCAGTGCATACCAACCGAGACGAGCTCATATGGTCCCACTAAAGACAAGCTACTTTGGTGCAACAGACCTTTCCTGCCAGAACAAGCCTGATGAATGCTGCCAAAAAGTCTAGCAAAGGCTGGTCCCTCAGGAGCCAAAGAAGATGGTACCCTTTTTGTCATGTGTTGCCCAGCAAAGAGGCCCAGGACACCAGCCGTGCTTCAGGCCTGGGAACTTGCAGCATCTGGCAGCTGAGCTGACCGCATGCTGCAGTGGTCTGAGTCCTCGGGATCGAGGTTCCTTTTACCAACTACTACTGGCCTGCACAGCCTGGAAACTTTCCCAGCTCTTCCTTTTGCTTCTTCCTTTCCCACATCTTTTGTGTTGTCTCCATCTTACAGAAGCTGGCTGACCACAAAACCTAAAAGAGACTTTGAATCTTCATTCTAAGGCAACCCCCAACTTCTGAGACAGCCAGAGGACCATTCCCAAGGATGACTGCCACTAAATCATCACCCTGCTGCTTACAAAGGCAGAACTGTAGGGGCTGGTAGGGATGGTGCTACTCTAAGGCTGGAACCGAATTTGCTTTATCATGCATGCTTTTGGGGAGCAGTAGGTAAAGGGGGAAGGTAGTGCAATAGCAGGGATTCTGCTGTCTCATTGTTCATGGAGTTAGTAGCTCAGAAGTCAGGGATGATACAATGAGTAATTGCTCAGGAATAACTCCCTTACCATCAATAGCGGAGGAAGGTTCAATGTCCAGCTCATTAGTTAATTATTATTGGCTTGTCTGATTAAAACCACTTGGCTTTGTAAATAAAGCCACCCCTGGTGCTAAGTCCTCGAGGCTGGAACCAATACACTGCTGACGAGAGCAACTATCTGATGTAATGGATAAGTGAACAGAGCAGTCACCCCCACAGCCCTTCTCCATCCAGAGTGCTGACGTGATTCTTCTTTCTGCTCACTGGCACAGGTGTCCTCTGGCCTTGCTTCCACCCATGTGGAGCACTTGCTCATGACACCTTCTTCTTTAATCGTAGAACCATAGAATCACCTGGGTTGAAAAGGACCTTAAAGATCATCTAGGTTCAACCCCCAACCTGTGGGCAGGGTTGCCAGCCACTAGAGCAGGCTGCCCAGGGCCCCATCCAGCCTGGCCTTGAACACCTCCAGGGATGGGGCATCCACAGCTTCTCTGGGCAACCTGTTCCAGTGCCTCACCACCCTCTGTGTGAAAAATTTCCGCCTAATATCCAACCTAAATTTCACCTCTCTTAGTTTAAAACCATTCCCCCTCATTGTGTCACTATCAACCCCTGTAAATAGTCGTTCCCCCTCCTTTTTATATGCTCCCTTTAAGTACTGGAAGGCCCCATGAGGTCTCCCCTGAGCCTTCTCTTCTCCAAGCTAAACAAGCCCAGTTCCCTCTGATCATCCTTGTGGCCCTCCTCTGGACCTGTTCCAAGAGCTCCACGTCTTTCTTGTGCTGGGGACCCCAGGCCTGGACACAGTACTCCAGATGGGGTCTCACAAGAGCTGAGTAGAGGGTCACAATCACCTCCCTCTCCCTGCTGGCCACCCCTTTTTTAATGCAGCCCAGGACATAGTTGGCCTTCCGGGCTGCAAGCGCACACTGCTGGCTCATGTCCAGCTTCTCGTCCACCCAAGTCCTTCTCCACAGGGCTGCTCTCAAGGAGTTCTCCCAGTCTTTACAAGTACCTGGGACTGCCCCGGCCCAAGTGCAACACCTTGCACTTGGCCTTGTTGAACCTCATTAGGTTCTCATGGCCCACTTTTCCAGCCTGTTCAGGTCCCTCTGGATGGCATCCCTTCCCTCTATTTTACCCACTGCACCACTCAGCTTGGTGTCGTCTGCAAACTTGCAGTGAGGGTGCACTCGATTCCCTCATCTATGTCGTTGATAAAGACATTGAAGAGCACCAGTCCCAAGACTGGTCCTTGAGGGACACCACTTGTGACTGGCCTCCATCCAGACATAGAGCCATTGATTACAACCCTTTGGCTGCAACCAGCCAACCAATTCTTTATCCATTGAACAGTCCATCATTCAAATCCATACCTCTCCAATTTAGAGACAAGGATGTGGTGAGGGACTATGTCGAGGTTTTGCACAAGTCCAGGTAGATTACATCTGTCGCTCTTCCTTTGTCCACTGATGCCGTCACTCCATCATAGAAGGCCACCAGATTGGTCAAGCAAGATCTGCCTTTGGTGAAGCCACGTGGGTTGTCTCGCATCACCTCTTGGTCTCATGAATGCCTTAACATGGCTTTTAGGAGGATTGTGTCTCCACTCAGTTTTCAGTACGTCACAGCCTGTCCTCACCCCGTCTTTGGTCTTATTCAGAGCTGAACTGCTTTGCTCAGTACAGGATGACAGCCATCTTTAATGTTCAAAACAACCACATTTTTTACCCTCATATCTGGGACATGCTCCTCCTAAAAACCTGCAAAGCCACCATGCTGTTCTTCAGCTCCTTCCATAAAGCTTCCTTCACGTCAATACCCAGAAGATGTCCACTCAGACCAAGCTAATCACAATGGTAAAATCTCTTTAGCCAACAATACCACACCATTTCCCTGTGCTCCCCTGCCTTTACCTGTCTGTTGTCCACCGTCTTATAACCTAAGTTTTCAAAATTAGGCATTGTTTCATGCCCACCTGACACAGGGTCTGATCCAGGACAGAGGCTTCTGCAAGGCAATCTACAAATTAGTCCAGCCTTCACTACTCATCTCTGTTTCTGAAGGGTTTGTTTCTCTGCTTTATTATGCTGTAAAACCACGAGTTCAGAAGTTTTTTCCTTCCTTTTTTTTTTTTTTTTTTTAAACTCTACACAAAGGGCAAGAACCAAACTCTGTGTTTATGACATTGTAAGGGCTGTGTCAGCAGAATTTTAACATCAATTGAGCTACTGGTATCTTCATCATCACAATGACTCATGAATTAATCTAAGGCTTTGATTCTGACTATGCAGCAACAGTCCTCAGGGGCATGTGCCTGTTTGGCTATCTGGAGAACAAACACATGGTTTGTGCCTCATGTTAGGAAAAGGACCTGGAAACTCCCTGAGAAAAACACCTTGTTCTCCCAAGGAGTCTCACCATATGCCCATCCCACCTCAAGCACTCACAAGCCCAGGATGCCTCACAACTACCTCACCTGATCAGTCAGGTAGTTAGAAGCTCCTTCCCACTAGAAGTTAACATGGGCATCACCTCTGTGTTTCAACAAGCAGCTTATATGTGCTTCTCTCTACCTAGCAGCTGCTGTGTTTCTAATCCCCAGCTATCCCGGCTGGCTGACCACAGCAAGCCTTGTTTTCCAGCTGTGGCTATGACTCTTCCCTCCCTGGCATTATGGACGTGTTTTCTTCTTTGATGCAGTAGCAGCCTGACAGGCTATGCAACACAGATCACAGTCTTGCCTGTAAAATGAAGTTTAAAAAAGCACAGCAAGAGGGGGGCAGCTGCAGTGTTTATTTGACAATCACATGCAGTGCTACACAGTTCAGTCCCCCTACTTGCCCAGCTCCCTTCCTCCCAAATACTGCTGAACAGCTTGTTGCCGCAACATCTGGGAACGAGTCCTTTTATTTAAAATGGCCAACGTAAGTTTCCAGGCCAGGGACTAGTCATTCAGGGGACAACAAGGAAAGAGATGTCAGGCTTCATCGCCTAGTTCACATCCTCTGCAGCCTGAGGACGGAAGCAGTACCCATCTGTCCATGTGGCAGGGAAGACCCTGGAGTCTCAGCGCTCTTGTCCCAGCATGGTGCCTTCCACTACAGAATGTTCTTTGCGATCGCGTTCAGGGTCCTCACTTTGGCCACATCTGCCACCTTTATGGAGTATTCAGGGGCAGAGAAGGACGCTCCCATGGCAACATTCGGATTTCTGTCAGGAAAACCACTGGTTACTATCTGCAGGTGATACAGATGAGTAAGACACACTAACGAAAACCCAATGTCTCCCCTAGTCTCAGCAGTGGCCAGAGAACCTGCTGATGCCACCCAAACCAAAGATGAGACACTAACAGAAAGAATAACCCAAAGGCAAGAAACAACAGCATCAACAAAAACCCAGTGCAGACCTGTAGACAAACATAAGCCATTCCTCACTCACTCCTCAGAGGCACATCCCACTGGCCTCCCAAATCCTACATACTCCAGTGTTAAAGGTCGGAGGCAACTATACCAGCACCTGCCTTCCCAAGTGCCACACAAGAGCACTCACAAGCCCTGGGGAGGCAGTAACAGAAGAAATGCCCCAAGGATCTGGTTACGCACGGAGATCGTGTCCAGATGATGAGCACCGCTGGATTCACACACTGCAGAATACAGAGCCATGCATCATGATCCCAACCACAAGAGCACAATCAGCACGCAGAATGCTGTTTGAAATTCATGCCTGTTCTACAAACTCACGTCCACATTACTCTAGCTCTTCCCCTCTACAGTTTTGCTAAAAAATAAAAATAAATAATCAGTTACCTGAACTTCATTCCTGAGTCCCGGGCTGAGCGGGCAGAGCAGTGAAACTCAGAAGCAGTGGAGCCTTCCAGAATCCTCTGCAGATTGCGCTCTGTGATGCCACCCCCTGGTGGGATGAATCCTTGGGTCATATACAGCGCAGATGGCACTGTCCCAGACCTGACATCACCCCTGGACCTACCCCCCAAGGGATAAGTGCCATCTACACAGAGAGGAAAAGACATCCCTGGGGACAACGGAGACCTGGGCACACAAAAAGAGATGGGAGAAGCCTTGGCTCATGTTCTCCTGCAGAACTAGACTGTCCCCAAATTCTCCAGTAAGTACAACCTGCAGGGCTCTGCCATCCCCAGATGGCTGCATGGCCTTTACTCGCAGCATGGCAGGAGCTCCTCCTCCTGGGGACCTGGCTCAGAATGCCAGATCAGACTGGGGGGACAGGCTAGGAAGCAGGGGCTAAGCACTATGGGGTCTGTTACAGATGACAAAAAAAATTACCTGGCACCACCACAATTCTGCCCTTCGCCTGCAAGAAGAAAATAGTGTTAGTGATATAGCTCGGCGCTACACCTGCACGTCCAGCTGTGGGATGGAAAATAAACCTTACATGCAGTGTCTTCAGCAAGCTCATGGATGTCACCATGGCTCACGATGCGCGTACTCTCACCCATCTTTTTTGTTCTATTCATATTTTGCAAGGAAAAGCAGAAAAGACTTTGCAGGTACAGCTAAGACAACTTGTCACCATTTTCTCCTACCTCTCTATCCTACCTGGCCACCTCTCATGTACCTCTGTTGTGTTTTCCTACCAGCAACTGGGAGACCCCAGCATGGACCCCACTTTGCTGTTCATGTTGTCTAATCACATCAGCTGCTAAAACCAACTCTTACCGCCTTCCTCCCAGTCTGTGCCCAAGAACAACCCAACAAGTGTTTGCTGTAGGACACTATGGGGTCCAGCCCAAATGGACTTGGGAAAACAGATTAAGGCCAAGCCAGACAAGAAGGGCAACTGCTCCTTGACAGAAGTTCCCTTACAGAAATGAGGGCTATCATAAAGGAGCTGCCTTCAGGCAATGCCCAGGAAGCAGCCCCAGTAACCCAGGGGAGTAAGGGAAACACTTACCTGTTCTGCAAGTCTCTTAATTAAGGACAATCCTTCCAGCGCTGAGCTGTCACAGCCACTGGTCAACACCCGCTCAAATCCCAGAGAAATCAGGGTCTCCAAGGCCACCAAAGGATCATGTACCATGTCGAAGGCTGAGACCAACACAACAGCTCAGAAATCACTCAGCTCATTGTGCTCAAGCCTCCAGCCAGCTCAAGAGCCCAAGTGACAACAACAGGAAGGGTCCTTCTCACAGCTGGCCACCCCCATGGGGAGCCACAGCTCCTGACCATCCCCCTCGCAGCAGTGGCAGGGCCACCGCTCCTCAGACACCTCCTCTCCACGCAGGGCACTGATACATCCCCCAAGCCTGGACTCCCTGGATCTTTCCCCTCCTGACAGAACAGCCCAGCCACAGCATACAGAGCTTTCCCTCTTCCAAAGAGTGACCAAAGTACATTCATCTCAGCTCCCTCCCAGCCCCATCTTCCCCTGGCAGCTGGGTCCCTGCCAGGGCCACTGGTTGCAGGCAACTCACCTCGGTGAAACGTGACTGGCAGGGGACGGCACACAGCTGCAATAAGAAGACAGATGGTCAGTCAGGGCTGGTACAGATAATCCCTTGTGCTAGAACCAGAAAAGCACATGAGATGAAACAGGGCAAAGGCTTCTTGGGCCATTCCTCCTGGAAACAACACAGCTGCTCCTCTTTGACCAGGGTCTTTGGGGGGGGAAGAGTTCTTCTGCCCTTTGAGGAAGCAACCAAACCAAAGGATGTTTTGCTGCACTCCCTACAGCACAGTCACCCTCATATGACAACCTCGGCACTGCATCACCAAGAAAAGGCCCAGCCCTCTTTAGCTTTGGCTGTAACTCACAGAAAAGATGTGGAAGCAAATTATTTCTCCCTATGTGTTAGGGGTCTGGACTAACAATTTCCCACCACAGCTTCAGTAACCTTTTATACATTTCTACCTCTCTCTCATTATCTTTTCTCACTGGGTGTGTTAGAGGACAAAATGAAGATGAGTTGCCGGCTACCCACAAGGCCAAAGTCCAGGAGAAACATATCCTAGACACCTGTAGCAGGGATTTAAGGAAAAAGAACAAAGGACAAAGAAAATGAAGAAAGGAGAGAATCCAACAGTTTAATGCTCTGATGCCCCCAAAGCAGCTCACCTAAGCCTCTCTGCTTCTTAGACCCTGCTATTATGTCCCAGTCGGCTTCAAACTGTGTGAACTGCTTGGGGTAGTGGCCCTTAGTCTGCAAAGCTTCTTACCTATTTAATGTTTCACAGGTATGACAATACATAAAATCAGAGAAAGTAGAAAGAGAAGGCAAGACCACAGACAAGACATGCAGAACAAAGCACCCCGCGCAGTTCTTTCTACAGCATCGGACAGAGCAGCACTGAACTCACATCCCCAGTCACAGCCCAGCTATTGCACAGAGCTCAGCGCAGCATTTCTGACTGGAGACGCTCTTACCCAGCAACGCTGTGCAGAGCTCTGTATCAATGCGCCCATCCTCAGTGAGGGCCCCAAACACCAGCCCGTCGGCCCCGTGCAGCTTGGCAAGGCGGATGGCAGCTTTCATCACTTCACCTCGCGGTCCGAGTAGAGAAAATCTCCGCCGCGAGGTCGGATCATCACGAACACGGGGACTCTCACACACTGCTTCACCACCTGCAGGAGTCCTGGGCGGGGGAAGGGAGAGAGGCAGCTCGGCACCCACCTACAGCAGCTCTGCCCACCGGGGGAGGGGCACAGGGGACGGGAGGGGAAGGCACGCTGGCGGGAGGGGACAGAGGTAGAGGGGAAAGGGAAGGA